TGGGGGCTATGCATTGTTGAATGTTTAACAGCATCTCTGGCTACGACCCACTATATGCCATTCGCACATCCTGAGTTCTAATAACTAAAAATGCCTACATATTGCCAATGTCCCCTGGGAGGCAAAATCATCTCCTGATGAGAACCACTGCCTTAAGGATGAAAGATGATATTCAGAGAAAAGATGTCTTATACCAGGAATCTGCTTGGACTTGTAAGGAAAAAGGATTTTCTATCTAGAAAGGGGTTTTCTACCTAGCATAACAGCTACAACAGTGATATATGTGTATATGTGTATACATGTATACACACACACACACACACATACACACACTTTTTTAAATTAAAGGAGACTATGTGAAGGTTGGGGGAAGGCAGAAGAGATGTCAGATAGCTACCGTGGATGAGGGAGCATTTGAAAATAAAATACTCCTAGTGTTACATATTTTACATGTTGGGATTTAATTCTTTTTTGGTACTGGGATGGAACTCTGGACATTGCGCTTGCAAGGCAGGCACGGCACCACTGAGCTAAATCCCTGGCCCTGTTTGGATTTAATTCTTAGCCATTCCTATAGCAAAGGACTTTCACAGGAGCCTTGTAAGTTTCATTAATATAAATAAAGCTACCATTAGATGTAACTTTTTTTTTCCTGCTCAATTCTTTTTTTTTTTTGGTACCGGGGATTAAACTCGGGTCCTTGCACTTGCAAGGCAGGCCACTGAACCACTGAGCTAAATCCCCGGCCCCTACTGCTCAATTCTTTAATTACTATTTTTTTTGAGACAGGGTCTCACTAAATACCCCAGGCTGGCTTGGAAGGCAAAATCCTCATGTCTCAGCTAGCCTAGTGTTGGAATTACAGGCCACCTTGACCAACATCCTTCAGCTCAATTCTTACTAATTCTATGGACAAATTCCCAACAGTGGCACTACCGAGGAAAGAGGAGGGACATTAGGAATGTACACCCAAACAGCTTTTCTACTGTTGCTGCCACTCATACTGAAATCTACTTGCCTTCCCCAGTATCTATTCCCTAAGCTTCCTGAGTGGTGAGGTTATGTTAGTTCATTTCTAACACCTAGCACCCAGCCGAGGAAAAAGTGAACGATCAGTATTTGTGACTTGAACTAAACCTCCCTGCAGCTTCCCTTTCAGGAAGTGGGTGCTGATTCTTGGCCAACACATAAGGAGTGTTAAAGTGGGTTGAGGCCCTTTCCCTCTCCCCTCCCTGTGAGACTCACGCTTTAGGGATTGCCACACTCAGCCGCACAGGTTTAGACCCCAGTCCTACTGCTCCTTGGCACTCTGTAAGGGCTCGCTTCTGTTCCAGTTCATCTGTGAATTTCACAAAACCATAACCCCTACAGGGCAAAAAAAAAAAAATCAAATCTAAGAATGGATGTTAGGCAAAGAGGAAAGAGCAGGAATGTGGACCAGAATGCTGAGTGGAGAGTAGCTGAGGAGTGGGAGTCCATCAAGCTACGGGAAGGGATGCGAGTCCCTTCAATGTCAATGTCCACACAGTGGTGGGATTCAAGCCTTGGATGATGATGATGAAATCTGTAGGAATCCTCACTTTCAGTTTACCATTCTCCTTGGTACCGGGGATCGAACTCAGGTTCTTGTGCTTGCAAGGCAGGCCGCAGAACCACTGAGCTAAATGCCTGGCCCTCACCATTCTCTTTCTTTTTTGTTTTGTTTTGTTTTTTGAGGCAGGGTCTCACTATGTAGTTGAGACTGACCTAGAACTCACTATGAAGCCCAGGCTGGTCTTGAACTCACAGCAATCCTCCTGCCTCAGCCTCCCAAGTGCTAGGATAACAGGCGTGCACCACCATGCCCAGGAACCATTTTTTTTGATACCTTCACCCATGGGGTTTCTTCTCAAAAAGTAGCTTCCCTCCCAATGAACTGGAAGGTTAACAAATTATTACCATTATATTAATAGTAGTAGTAGTAGTAATGGTTGAAGAAGTTCACTCTGCAAATGTTTTCAGAAATTGCCCTGAATGCTCAGTATTGTACTTGGCATGGGACACAGTAGTTAGAACCAATTCCTGCTCTCCTGAGATCATAGTCTAGTCAAGGAATAAATTAATGACAGCTAACATCTAATGAGCACTTATTTCTAAGCACCATGCTGAACATTTTCCCAGGGTTATTTCATCAAATTATCTGAATCTCCCACGCCCACCCCCACACTCCATACTGGGGATTGAACTCAGGGCCTTCACACTGAGCTACATCTCTAGCATTACCTTTGTTTTTTTTTGGAGACAGGATTTAGCTAAGTAGACAAGTTACCCAGGCTGGGCTCAAATTTGTAATCCTTTGCCTCAGCCTCCCAGAGTGCTGGGATTATAGGTCTGTGCTACCACATCAGGTGAAACCATCCAATAATTACATGAAGGTGGTATCCACATTTTACTGAGGTAGTCAAAGTTCAGAGGTTTAATAACTTATCCAAAGTCATACATAATAGAAGCAGGATTCAAATACACCTCTTCAGACTCCCAAAACATAAGCTTATGACTACTATGCTGATCAAGAATGAGTTTTTTGGGGACCAGGAGTTTAGCTCAGTGGCACCATGCCTGCCTTGCAAGCCCAAGGTCCTGAGTTCAATCCCCTCTACCAAAAAAAAGTTTCTTTTGGGCTGGGGATGTGACTTGGGGGTAGAACACTTGCCTAGCATGTGTGAGGCCCTGGGTTTGATCCCCAACACTGCAAAAGAACTGGAAAAAAAAAGCCTTTCTTGAGATTTTTTCATTTTTGAAATGAAAAACTTCTAACTAAACTGAAAGGCTCAGTAACAATAGAAGAGCAAACACAAAGCACTTCCTATGTGATTATATCCTTTAATCCTTACATTAGTCCTATGATACTATTAGCCCCATTTTACAGATGAGGAAAGGGGGCAGAGAGGCTTGGTACTTTGCCTACAGCACCATTTCTTGCTAGTACTGGAGCTGAGATTTAAACCAGGCAGTTCAGCTCCTGAGCCTAGGCTCTGAAGCCTCTGCTTCACCACCTCTCTATAACACTTCCCCCAGGGGAGAAGATGCTGCAAGGGCAGGGAGAGCCTTACTTAGACACGCCTGTCTGGTCCAGAACCACCTTGCCTCCCCGACAGGAAGGGTAGACTTTGACGAAGAACTCATACAGCATGCCATCATCCACATCTGGGGTCAGGTCCCCGACAAAGAGGGAGTACTCAGGGCTGAGAGGAGAGAGCAAGAGTCGGTGACAAAGATGAAAATATTGCTCTGCAGAGCAATTCTAGCCTACTCGAAGTAAATTTCTCCAGGGCCGCCTTAAGGAGCCCCACTTCTGATGGGTCTACTTAACTAGATTGTGGGATTTTTTTTGCTGTGCAAGGGATAGAGCCCAGGGCCTCGTACATTACTAGGCTTAACCAGGTTCTAAGTTGTTTATCACTTTGACAGAAGAGGACTGGAAATGGAAGTGGCCCCCTGCCCTGAATTCTTCACCCAATAAACAGTGCCTGCCTGCCTGGCTTCTAGTATTTGTGACTACAGATAGAGAAGTGAGTCAGGGGCACATCCAGAGCACAAAAGACAAAAATTTTCTTTTGAGGGCCAGATTTAGCTCAGTGGTTCCGCTGCTTGCCTCACAAGTGCAAGGTCCCGAGTTCAATACCCAGTATCAAAAAAATAAATAAAAAATAAAAAGAGCTGGGATGTAGCTCAATGTGAAGGCCCTGGGTTCAACCCTCAGTAGCACCACAAAAGAGAAAGAGAGAGAGAGAGAGAGTGCTAGGCGTGGTGGCACACACCTGTAATCCCAGCACTCGGGAGGCTGAGGCAGGAGGACCACTGGGGGGAGTTCGAGACCAGCCTGGGCTATATAGTGAGTTCCAGGTCAGACTCAACTACATAGTAAGACCCTGTCTCAAAAAGCCAAAAAAATAAAAAATAAAAAATAAAAAAACAAAAATAAGAGAGAGAGAGAGAGAGAATATGAAAATTTATTATTGATTTTTTTTTTCCAGGTACCAGGGATTGAACTCAGGACCTTGTGTTTGCCTTGCGGATATGGTGCCATTGAGCTACATCCCTGGCCCCTGAAACTGGTCATTGTTTGAAACCTAAAGTCTAGTTAAAAAGAAATCCACAAAATTTTAAACGGGGATCAACAAACTTTTTCTGTAAAGGGCTAAATAATAAATATTTTAGTTTTTAGCTGGGTGTGATGGTGCACCCCTATAACCCCAGCAGGAAGGCTGAGGCAAGAGGATTGCCATGAGTTGGAGGCCAGCGTAGGCTCTATAGTTCAAGGTCAACCTGAACTACAAAGTGAGACCGTTTAAAAAAAAATTCTATGCAAACAGATGAATGAGTTTGGGTATGGTTCAATGGCATAAGACTGCTTAACTTGTACAAGGCCTTGTGTTCAAGCTCTAGTACCAATAATAACCAAATATTTGTTATTATTAGTAATTTCAATTATTCTTTAATAATTTATTGGGAAATAGGAATGGGGAATAAGAATAGCTCCTGAGAGACAGGAGGGGTCCCAAATGGGTCTGCCCTTTCTGTTTATTTTTCTTCTCTTTTTTTCTTTTTCCTTTTGATTTTTTTTTCTCCGTACTGGAGATAGAACTCAGGACCTTGCACTTGTGAGGAAGGCGTAGTGCCACTGAGCTAAATCCCTGGCCAGGTTGCCCTTTTATTTCAATTAGAATATACAAAAGCACAAAGAAAATAAAATTAGAAATAATCTAACCATTTAAATGCAATCGCTATAAATAGATACGAATTTTTTTTTTCTGATTTTTCTTCTGAATTTACAAAAGTTGAATACAACACATAACATTTTGTCATTTTTAGCTTTTTTGCTTTGTTTCAGGGATTTTTGGTGGGTACCAGGGATCAAACTTGGAACCTTGTGCTTGCGAGGCAGGAAGTGGCACCACTGAGCTAAATCCTTGGCCCTGTTTCTGGGTTGGTTTTTTTTGGCACCAGGGACTGAACTGTTTCTGGGTTTTTGAGACAGGGCCTTGCTGTGTGGTTCAGGCTTGCCTTGAACTCACTATGTAGCCTAGGCTAGCTTTGAACTGGTAGTGAGCCTCCTGCTTCAGCCTCCTGAGTGCTGGGATAACAGGCTTGCATTACCATGCGTGGTGAGCCCCAATCTCTTAAAAAAACAACAACAAAAACAAAAAAATCCTTAAAACCATATCCTAATATCTTGACCCATCCATATTCTGCAACATGACCAGTTAACCAATACACAGTCTTCTAGTTAGGTAACATATTGTAATTTAACCACTTCTCTGTTATTAGGGTATATAGTTTTCCTCCCAACTTTACCATTATATATATTACTTCTTTTGAGGCTAATGTCCTCAATATTACATATATCCATGAATAAATTCTAAAAAGTAAATGTACAGGGTCAACAGGTACAAAACTTTTATAAGGTTTTATATATGGTTTTCTTTCTTCTTCTTCTTTTTTTTTTTTTTTTTTTTTTTTTTGGTACCAGGAATTGAACTCAGGCCCTTCCGCTTGCAAGGCAGGCACTGAAACCAATGAGCCAAATCCCCAGCCTTTTTTCTTCTAAAAAAAACCCCACAACTTATGCTGGGCATGTTGTCACACATCTGTAATCCTAGCACTTAGGAGGATGAGGCATGAGGATCACCAAGAGTTGGGGCCCAGTCTGGGCTTCACCATGAATTCAAGGCCAGCCTGAGCTACAAAGTGAGACCCTGTATCAAAAAATCAAAAAAGCTAGGCGTAGTGGCACTCACCTGTAATTTCATCACCTGGGAGCCTAAGGCAGGAGGATCGCTGAGATTTTTTGTTTTTTGCTTTTTTGTTTTTGGTACTGGGGATCAAACTCAGGACCTTGTGCTTGCCACTGAGCTAAATCCCCTGCATGTGAGTGTTTTTGTTTTGTTTTGTTTTGTTTTGAGACAGGGTTTTGGCATATAGTCCATGGCTGTCTGGCATGTGAGTTCTGAAATACACAGCAAGACCTTGTCTCAAAAAAAAAAACCAAACAAACACAAAAGAAGAACCAAAAAATAACTGAAGTCAGGGCCTTCCTACTGAGCTAAATTTTTATATTTCATTTTGAAAAAGGGTCTCACTAAATTGCTAAGGCTGGGCTTGAATTCATTATCCTCCTGCCTCAGCCTCTCAGAGTGCTGGAACTACAGGAACGTGTAGGTGTCCCACCATCCCGAGCTGATGATCTTTTACAATTTTCATATAGGTTTGGTGGTGACATTGGCCTATAATCCCACCACTTTGCCATGCCAAAGCAGAACTACTAGTTTGAGCCCAGCCAGGACAACATAGGGAATTAGTAAGAGACTATCTTCAAAAAAAAAAAAAAAAAGGTGCTTAGTACCAGTACAGTAAATAAACAACATGAAACAAAAACACTCCACAAATTTTCACATAGTAAACTGAAATGATATCAATTTACATTGCTATGACAGGTAATTTTTTTTTTGCAGCACTAGATATTGAACTCAGTGGCTTGTACAGACTAGGCAAGTGCTCTACCAAGTGAGCTACATCCCCAGTCCTTTTCTTATTTATTCTTTTATCTTTGCAGTACTGGGGATGGAACCTAGAGATGCTCTACTACTGGGTACAACTCTCCCCGAGATGGTCTCACTAAATTGCCTAGGCTGGTACTGAACTTGTGATCCGCTTCTCTCAGTCTTCAGAGTAACTGAGTTTATAGCATGCACAACCACACCTAGGGACAACAGGTAGGTTCTTACCAAATAAAACCTCTATACTGTGAGGAGTTAATGGTGCAAGGCTAGAAGTGGGATCAAAAAAAGGCATAAGACACCCCAGGAAGGTTCAGCAATGGAGAAATGGAAAGACGTGCTCCTTTAGGAGGGGACAAATACAACCAAACCTGACTCCCCATCCTCCTCCTGGCAGTGATTGGCACACTGTCTAGGCATTTTCTGAAGCTGGATGTTACCTTGGGGTTTCTCTGTACTTACCTATTATCTGGCTGTTTCCCATAAGTGGCATAGTTCAGTTTAAAACGTTTTGCCTGGAAATTTAAAAACAAGCACACTAAAACAGAGAAAAGTGTTTCAAGAGTCAAACAATATTTGAAAAAAAACTGAAATAAATTACCTTGGCCAAAATATCTCCCCCTCTCTAAGCCTCAGCCTTTTCTCCTGTATAAAATGAGGGGGTTGCACGGATGACCATTAAGGGCACTGCCAGCTCCATGGTTCTATGAGCCCAGGTGTGCCAGCTGGTGCAGCTGTAAGCTAAAATAACTGTGGGAAGAGCAGAATGTAACTCTCTTGAAATATGTTCTTGCTGCTGCCAGCCTGTTCTAGTTTCTTGATCACGCAAAAGACCTAGCATTTCAAATCTTCCATCTTAGGAGGGAGGCAGTGATGCGGAGCAAAAAGGGGAGGTTTTGGAAGCAACCAATCTTGTCTGAATCCTGGCTCTATCACTTGCTACCTTTGTTGCCTTGAGCAAGTTATTTTGCTTCCTTGAGCTTCAGTTTCCTGGTCTATCAAAGATAACAACGCCTACTGCATAGGGTGGTTACAAGATTAAATAAAACGAAGTAGTATACAGTAGGGATACAGTAAGTGATGATAATCAATGACAATAAAAATGGCAACATGTCATTATCTCAATGTCCTTACAGGTGTGGCTCCTGGAAGGGGTTTCCCATTAATTTTATGTAAACACTTCTCAGCTGTGGCCAAATCTGCAAATTCTACAAAGCAGTAGCCAGCTGGGATCCTGAAAAGAAAACAAACAGAAGAGAACGGTTAATCCAGTTGTCTTGGCCCAAAGGAAAGGAGAAATGTCTTTCTATAATCACAACCCATACTATTTTTGTTTGCTGCCATATTCCAGTGGACATATAACTCACAAAATGAACATAAGGACTGCCAAGCTGGCCAGTCCCAGGCACAATCAGTAAACCTTCCTGTATGAATGTTTATGTACTATATCATCTGTGAAGTACTCTTGCCAAGAATGTTTAATGGAATCAAATCAAGCTTTTAGGTCTAACATCTATTTCAGGGGTGGCGAACCTATGGCATGTGTGCCACAGCTGGCTATTTTTGAAAGCTCTGAAAGGTTCACCATCACCGACTAGTTCATAAGAAATACTAGCGATAGAACAGGTAAAATACCACAAGGAAACAGATGAATTCAGAACGTAGGACATGACATACAAAAACTACTCTCAATCTCTTTAAAAAGTCAGTACTAGGGGCCAGGGATTTAGCTCAGTGGGGTTTGTGCCTGCTTCACAAGTGCAAGATCCTGTGGTCCTGGGTTCGATCTCATGTACTGCCAAAAAAAGTACTAGAAGCCTGGCGTGGTGTTGCATGTCTGTAATCCCAGCACTCAGGAAGCTGAGGCAGGAGAATCACCGATAGTTGGAGGCCAGCCTGAACTACAACAGCAAGACTGACTCTAAAAACAAAAACAAAAAAGGAGACTGGAGCAAGAAGATCAGTGTTAGTTTGAGGCCAGTCTGGGAAACAGAGTGAGAATCTGTCTTAAAAAACTAAAAAGTTTTTATTACCTAATAGATTATAATCTGTTGCTATTAACTGAGCATGTAACATATAACGCTTTTTTTTTTTTTGGTACTGGGGATTGAACTTGGGTCCTTGCGATTGCAAGGCAGGCGGCGACACAACTGAACTAAATCCCCGGCTATAACACTATTCTAAATGCAGAAAGGAATTAATTTAATCCTCACTAATGAGGTAGGTGCTATTATTATTCCCATTTTCACAGTCCAGTAACTTACCCAACGTCACAGAGCAGAAATACAGTAATTTTTAAACCCAGTCTGTCTCCCTTACAACATTGCGATTTCTATTACCAGAAGTAGAGAGAAACCCTGAGTTTTCGATATTTACACTCTCTTGAATGACAGCCGCAGCAAGATCCATTAAGGGAGAAGAGGGAAGACGAAAAAGACACCTACCCAGTGAGGCGGTTTCGGATAATTTTGACGCTCATCACGGTCTCCCCCATGGTGGCAAAGGCTCTGGAGATGAAGCTCTCATCCATGTAGGGTTCCAGCTGCGCACAGGGAGGGCGGGCG